TGTGTGTGTGTGAGAGTTCGTGCGCGCGCGTGTGTGTGTGTGCGTGTGTGTGTGTGTGTGTGTGTGTGTGTGTGTGTGTGTGTGTGTCTGTGTGTGTTTGCGTGTGTGTATGTGTGCGTGCATGCGTTCGTATGTGTAACCCTACACTGATTCTTTGTAAGAAAGTGTCGAATTCTTTCCATTCCTGATTTCGCTACAGATTCACTGCAATTACAATACAAAAATAGCTCGAGTAAAAAAAATGCAAGAAGCCTGAAGCTTGTAAGACTGTATTCCGGGCAGTCGGGTAGAGTTGCGATTCTAGAGTTAGGCAAACCCAGGCTCTAACGGGACATTATTTTGCCTTCATATACGTGCATATGTGGGCACATACAAACATAAACGTACAAACATGACCATATATAAAAACAAAAGGACATATACGAGCATATACGAACACATACGCGCACATACGAAGCCATACGAATATATACGAGTGTATACGAACATATACGAGAATATACGAACATATACGAGAATATACGACCGCATACGAATATATATACAAGCGTATACGGAAATATACGAGCATATACGAACAGATACGAGCACATACGAACCCATACGAATATATACGAACATGCGTATGTATGAATATCCCTTGACTGGATACGAACATTGAGATTTGTAAATTATCGTCAAACAGCGGAGTTCAGAAGATACTTGGAACGTATCACGAAAAAATCCTCTCCTGTGACTAGTTTTGTTACTCGTCGTACTAACGCTCCTGGTGTTGTTGCAGGCTCATACTGAGTCTGCACCAGAATATCAAAAATCTGAATCGTAGAGTTAGAACAATAGAATTTAGTGCGAGCTTTCGCTGTTAATCTCGTTATGACGTCACTCGTTCAGGCGTCTGCTAAGCGTCTGAAGGACACCACAGAGTTGTTAATCGCATCTCCTTATGACGTCGAAATCGTAGAGTTAGAACAATAGAATTTAGTGCGAGCTTTCGCTGTTAATCTCGTTATGACGTCACTCGTTCAGGCGTCTGCTAAGCGCCTGAAGGACACCATAGAGCGGATACAGGCGGAGAGACTGACGGAACTGAAGGCCCAGCAGCAGCAGGGTCAGAGGGAGCTAGATGCGTTGCTGCGTCAGGTACATGAGCTGCGGCAGAACAACAACGAGATGCAACACAGAGAGGAGGAGGCCATGCAGAAACAGGTGCGTCGCTCGTAGGTGCCGCCAGGTGCCGCCACGTATCACGATATTCTGTCACTTGTTATATGCGGGACATTACGTTGTTGAGCATGGGTGTAGATAATAACCCATTATGTAATTATCATATATATATATTTAT